GGGGGGCAGCGGGGGGCTGGGATTGGGTGGGGGGGCTCTCAGCACTGTGGGAGGCATGCTGGGGGGGTCTGGGACCCTGCAGGCAGGGCAGTCCATGTGCTGTGTGGGGGGCGACACCCTGTTGGGGGCAGGGGATCCACCCCTCCAAAGCACCCCCTGACACAGTCCCCACCACACCCACAGTCCTCCTACATCTACCCACACACTGACCTGCATCTCTCCACACCCACCCACACAAACACCCACCCTGTGATAAGGAAACCAAAAGCAAATATCAAAACATATAGATATTTAGGATTTATTTTATTATGATGATAGAGATACTGGTAGGGTTCCAAATTGCTTTAACAATGTAAATATAGCAATAAAACATTGCCCATCTGATCGATCCCCCCTGCCCCCCCCCATCTCTTTTGTTCTAATTGTGGAAGAACATGGATTTTGGGGTATTTAAAGTGAATTTGGGATGCTGCTTCAGCAGTTAATTTGGTACAAGGGATAGTGTCCCCAGATACCAGTTGCCCAGGCCCTAGAAGCTCCTGTCTATTTATCCATTCAAAATTGCTGTAGGCTCTAAGGCCCACCTGATAAACTAGTAGCCCCCACTATATGGGGACTAATTGATGAATGGAACAACTGATTTCATGGGAGAAGTAAGAAAAAAAACAGGATAGGCCTATTTGATGACCAGGGTCATAGGCCTAGCCCACTATGGAGACTGTGGCTGTGACTGATGGGCAGTGATGGGACCTCCAGCCATCAACTGAATTCTGGGGACAAATAATGAAAAAACAGGATGTGCTTATGAGGTCATAGGGACAAAACAAGTGCACCCTGGGGGGACACTGAGTGGAGCACCCCGAGCCACACCCACCAGTCCTCAAAGGCATCCAGTGAGCCAGTGGACTCCACCCTCTAGAGATGGTGGTGATGGACGGTGGTAAAGTGGACCAGTGCAGTGTCCTCCAGCCAGGTCAGGTGGTGGAGCAGGGAGTGCTGCAAGGCTGGGCGCTCCCCAGAAGCTCCTGTCTATTTCTATCTTCCA